ACTATGACTTCTGTATTTTTAATCAACAGAATAAGCTTTGAAACCAGCATCCTTCCTCAACTATGTAACTCCAATGTAATATGTCAGATCGAAAATATCACCTCTCTTTTCTAATGCACTCACATTCTCTCCTTCCCCCTCCTCCCACTACCTTAAAGCTGCCTCTACCGTGAGACCAGACCTAAAGTCAGGAGTTATAAATATACACCCGCCCTCCGGGTCAGCAACTGCCTTCTGGACCTGCTCTAGTTCTAACCCAAGCCCGACCTTACTATGTGTCAAGGAAGTTCATGGTGATGAAGAGCAATGATGTGAAATGACAAAACAGCGGCAAGCAAAATAATCAGTTTATTCCCGTCTACAAGAAAAGCTTCACGTCTACGCGTCTTTTGCTTTGTTTAAACTATCGATATTCATGAACTGTTTACATTTCAATTCTGATGCAAATGATAATCTTCACTGCACAAGATACTCCTGATGGTAGAACTTTGGATGTTACCAAGATGACAGTCTCTCCACATACACAGGGAAGTTTGCAGAGAGAAAGCTCTTTATTCATACAGTCAGAAATATCTCTACGGAAAGTTTTTCCAAATGATTTAGTAAGATTCAGAATTTTCCAGAATGTACTTTCTTTCCCTCATTTAATCAGCATGCTTCCTCAATCTCTAGTGCGCCCAGAGCATATGGGAGGGCCTTGTTGATCCTTTGTAGTCAATATCTGTTTATTGACATAATCTAAATGACTAACTGTATCGACTGCCAGGACAAATAAAGCACGGACTTTCTTCTTAGAACGGAATGCAAGTCGGAGCCTGTGACTTTGTGAACACCCGGGAACCTCCCACGAGAGGCACCATGACGCAGTGGAATGACTAATGGACCGCTCCCACTGACTTAAGACGACGCACGCAAGTGCCACCAAAATGCTACTGCAGAGGACACCTGACTGCAAGCAGGTGTCTGGTCTGGGATGAGCAACCTGACACTCACTCTGAGAGAGATCCCACTGTTTAATACACACGGCAATGCCTTCAGAAGAAATACAAGCTTTATGGAGTGTCAGAGAGGTCAAAACCGACTTAAAAAAAAAAACCAAAAAAAAACCCAAACCCCCCAAACCTATGCATGTTGTAAACATGCAAAAACCTTAAGAACAGAGAAATTGCTCCCCCCGACAGAAGGACTCACCCTGGAGGGAAGCCCTCTGAATATGTAAGAGCTTCCGGCAAGAAAACCAACCTTCGTGATCAGGAGAGAAGCCTTACTGGGGGAATCTACACATAAGAAACGTGGGGAAACCTCAACAACAGCTGAGCTTCGCCTACACACAGAAAACTCACACTAAAAACTAATTGAGTGCACAGAACCACTGAGCTAAACTTTGCCCCTGAAGAATTCATACAAGGGAAGAAACCTGAAAAAGTGTTCTGAATTGTGGCAGAAAAAAAAAAAACACCCATCCTTTTCTCACAGAAAACCTATTATTTCATAAAAGCCCCACTCCTGGTCTGGGAACTGGGTTTTTGCAGGACCACGGACCACAGACCCGACACACAAGGAGAGACCACGTGCCGGTGGGGTGTGCAGGGCTGGGGGGCTCTGATGTCACCCGCCAAACTCAGAGGCCGCACAGGCAGGACTCCAATAGACAGAGTTTCTGTCCTCATGCAGTGCCCATTCCTGGGAAGGGTGACAGGTCGCCCACCTATCACAGCCTCACCCGTGACCACCCACCAGCCCATGGCCCCTTCTCCTTCAGATTCCTGTAGTTTTGATCAAAATAGTATCAACACTGATAATAATAATAATAATAGTAACAACCATATTTACTACCGACTGAGAACTACACCTAACTGCAGCCCTTACTCTGGAGTCACCCCTGAAAATTACTTCCAGGAATCTCTCACAGACCTCGAAGGCACTCTAGAGATCAAGTAGTCCCAAGTCCCCTCCTTCACAGATCTAACAATAAAAGGCTGAAGATCTTACAGAGATGGTTATCAGTGGCACAATGTACAAATGGCAAAGCAGAAACAAAAATGTTAGTCTTCTGGCTCCCTGCATTGAAGTTTCGCCACTAAAAATATCTTTTGGAGTAAATTCCAAAATAAGTAAAACTAATTCTGATTTTTGAGTACCCATTCAGAGGGCTGTGAATGTTAAGACACTGATTTAGAAAGAAAGAAGTACTAAGCAGCCAAATACTTGGCAACTGCCCCCCAAACAGGTTGAAATGAAAAGAGCGTGAGCAGCGCCGTGGAGGTGCGAGTGGGAAGGACCCGCACGTGCACAGTGCTCGAGCGTCCAGGACGAAACCGCGGATCCTCTTCCTTCTCGTCATCTCTGCACTCACGGTTTCAGCGGCAGGTTACCAAGCCTCCTCCCCCTCCCTCGGAGGCGACTGCTTATTATTGTGTTACAGGGACGACCACCCACAGACCCACAGACGCTCCCAAAGCTGGCCATCCGCGTGCGCCAGCGGGCCAGCGAAGGTTCCCAGGGTTTCTGCAGCAGCAGCAGCAGCAGCAGCAAGGGGAACAGCGACGGGAACAGCGGGGCGTGTTTGGAGGGAGCGAGACCCACCGGAGCGCAGGCGACGCCCTGAGCCATCTCAGGCCCCATGACGATGATGACGATGATGACGATGACGCGCAGACACTGAGGGAGTGCTCCTACTTCCAGAGACCGTGCATGGATGGCGGCCTCATAAAAACATTGTCCTCTTTCAATAAGCACCCTCCTGAGGGTACAGTGCAGGAGAAGGGGACCGAGTCGTTTAGGAGGTAAGATCCATGGGCGATATTGGCGAACAGGGGACAGAGGACAAAGGGAGAAGGGGAAAGAAGGACTTGGGAGGCTTCCGATCGGCATCAAAAATGGGCAGATGGTACAAACCACGCAGACAGGGAACCTTGAAAGATAGTACCAAAGCAAACGTTTTCCCTGTGTAATTATACTCTTACTAAGGGTTTTTCAAAGTTATCGGTGAACTTTCCTTTAATATTAAATTCTTTTCATTGTTAAACATGTTTTCCCATTCTTCTCTACCATGAAACAAAAAACTAAAAAGCCTAGTATCAAAATGCGTTCCTTTGTTTTCTTTCAATCTGAGGTGACGTGAAGTGTGATGAGGGCAAACCAGGATGAGCGTTACGTTTGACTCGGGTCTGGTCCTAAAGAGCTGATTTTGTGAAGCTGGTATTTTTTCAATGACTAAGGTCAGTCCCTATGTAATTAAAAATAATTACACACTTTCACATTTGAGATAAGGCAGAAAGATGCTACAGCTAAGTAAGAGGTTTGGAGTTTTTCTTTCTTTTCTTTTTTTTTTTTGGTGTGAGCAATTCTGAAGTAGATGGCGCACACACGCACACACACACAGCTTTTTTAAGTTTTTTTTTTTTTAATTTAAATATAGAGAGACTTGAACCTTGGTATAGTGGACAAAAACATGAAGATAAGTGTACTAGATTCAGTGATAACCACACTTTTCATAATATGTTGTGAAATTTTAACAAAAAAAATTCCTACATTAAAAAAATCCCTTCATACTTCCATGAAGCTAAGATTCTAACTACACAACGAAGAAGACCATTTTATGCTAATAAATAACCCTACTTCATTAGACGGGTCGGCATCATGGACAATCTTTTGTGAAGTTTTTCAGCAGCAAGAGTTCCGACACCATAACCACCGCCTGTACACACACTCGGGAAAATGACTGGCAGATGCTCGTGCTCTACAGCTCAGTACCCAGTGCACTCGCATGTGCGCGTCAATGCCAATGCTGGGCACAAGCACGAAGCACGCTAAAGAAGACCGCAAACAGGACGCAGGTACGTAAAAACTGTACGCCCTGCGACAGCACACATCACCACGGGGTGTGTGTGCCTGCAGGAGAACAGGCTGGGTGCGGGTGCGCAGGAACGCTGGGTGCGCAGGGACCAGGCAGACGCTCACTGGGCGGCAGCCGCCTCGGTGGGAGGAGGGAGGGGGGCAGGCGAGTGTGGGAGAGGGCAGAGCAGCCTGGACAGCGCTGGGGAGGCAGGTTCGTCAGGGTTCGTCTCGCTCTTTATGACATATTAGCCAGTACTGCTCGACACACTAGACAACCCTTTTCTGCCAGATGACAAATCTCGTCTATGCTGCCAGCTGTAAAAGTAACCTTGCTGGTGACACGAGTAGTGGTTTTCGAGGCGGCGAACCAGCCCGCCCTCACGCGACCCCTCACCTCCCGCCCTGCGTCCGCTGCAAACTCACTGCTGCTCCCCCACCTCGGCCCTGGGCTTCCCAGCCCACTCCCGAAATCCTTCCCGTGTGTGAGCACAAACAGTGCCTTAGTCGGGGTAGACGCAAATAAACGTCAGTCTCCTTTAAAAAAAAAACAAAAACCCCGAACATGTTCCTTGGTTCTTTCTCTTTTCTTCAAAACACCAACACAGAGTCACGTTATAAAGTCCTAAAACGAAGGTACGAGGAAAAAGAGGACTGGGCTGAGTGGGGAGACTCAGTATCTTACTCCCACTCTCCCAGGAAAAAGCCTCAAAGCCTCAGGAAAATCACTCAGCCTTTCAAAGTCTATTTCCCCCTTCACTAAAGTGATGAGGCCAAATCAACCAAAATGACTCACGCGGGCCTCCCCGTGACTCAGTGGTGCACGCATGCCAGGTGAGTTTCCGAGGCCCGAACAGCGCACAGACAAGGGAGCCCAGCCAGTAGCTCAACCGTTTAGGACGTCGCCCAAATACGCCAGTTGTGGTTTGATCCCCAGTCACAGCACATACAAGAATCAACCAATGAATCATAAATAACTTCGACAACGAATCACGTTTCTCTCTCTCTCTCTCAAATATATACACACACAGACAAGTCACATCAAGAGCTTTAAACATTCAAAATTTAGGAAGTATAATTTGATAATTCTAAAACTCCTTAATTTGGAGTACTGTAATTGCCTATTTTGTATATTTAAAAGAGAAGTTATTAAAACTACTCACATCTGGTTGAATGGCTTTAAATACTGGGACATCCATTAGCGTTATCTGACCCTGAAATCAGAGGTAAAAAAAGTGACAATTTCTTCTTTGGAATTCCATGATATGACACGTATTCTACATTAGAATGATATTCCATACTAAAATAGATCGAACAATCAAATCTTTACCAGAAAAATCTCAACTTATAAGGGCTTAAGAAAATGGAAACTCAGCCCGTGTACCACTAAATGTAAGTATTTCTTTTTTAACTGAGTGTACTGAGGTGGCATTAGTTAAGAGAATTACACAGGGTTCAGGCGTACAGTTCTGTAACACACCTTCTGTCTCCTGGATCATGTGTTCACCCCCCCCGAGTCAGGTCTCCTTCCATCGCCATTTACCCCCTTTACCGTCTTACACCTACCCGACCTCCAAATGTAAGTGTTTCTAATTGTCTCACACACCTATTCATATTTTCTTGGTGAAATAAATGCAGTGAAGTTAGAAAATAAAAATCATTTTCAAAATCTGACACGGTTTTACATGGAATCGAACCACAGCCAGAAACCGGCCCTGCTGGTCCAGGAGCAGTCAGTGGCAGGGGCCTGCCTGACTCATCGGCTGGCTGCACCCGACAACGTGCGTTGCTGTGTACGGCGACCAAACACGGTTCGTTCCTGGGTTGCAAAGGTGGTTCGGTGTGCCCCGACTGGTGGGGCTCAGTGGGTCGGGCACAGTCCCACAAACCAAAAGGTCGCTGGTTCAATTCCCAGTCAGGGCACATGCCTGGGTTGCGGGCCAGGTCCCCCGCTGGGGGTGTGCGAGAAGCAACCGATGTTTCTCTTGTAGATGGGTGCTTCTCTCCCTCTCTTTCTCCCTCCCTTCCCCTCTCTCTAAAAATAAAGAAGTAACATCTTTGAAAAAAAGAATGGATCAATATTAAAAAATCAATATATTCTGTTAAGTTAAAAGAGAAAGAGAACATAAACATTTATGGCGGTTAAGAAAAAAAAGGTTTTCTGGGTAACTTTCATGATATTGCAATAATGCCTTCAACTTTAATTTTTACATTTTTTTAATTTATAAAAAAGTTAAAATACTTCTGACATATCAATCAAGTACTGTTGGCTCGGGCAGATGGTACAGGGAGGGACTACGAAAGCAATGACCACGAAGGTAAATACTTACTACTTACCGAGCTGAGAGTGAAATTTATGGAGCTGCTCTAGAAGTATTTACAGCTCTTCTACCCCCCGCCCCCCGCCACTTTATCCCTCCACGTGCTCCATCACTGGGCTACTCTCCTGTTAATTCCCACACCCAGCTCGCTCCCTGCCCCCTTCCCTTTTTCACCATCTCCTCTGCTCATCCCACAAATTCTAGCTGGACAGCGCAGATACGTAAATTATGTGCAACAACCGGAGAAAGGAGGGCAGGGAGGCTTACCGCATATTCTTCTGGTGTAACCTTAAGAACATCGAAAACCACGGCGTCAAAGCTTTTCTTCAATTCAGAACCCTTGTCACTTAATGATTCAGAACTGCTACTTTTCTGTTAAATTAAAAGAAAATGCAGCCATTTTAATACTGTCTCAAGTCAACATCACAAAAACTAGACTGACGTTAAAAACTGAGGAAACTGAGCCCTGGCTGGTGTGGCTCAGTGGATTGAGCGCCGGCTGGTGAACCGAAGGGTCACAGGTTTGATTCCCAGTCAGGGCACATGTCTGAACTGCAGGCCAGGTCCCCAGTAGGGGGCACGCAAGAGGCAACCACACATTGATGTTTCTCCCCCTCTCTTTCTCTCTCCCTTTCCCTCTTTCTAAAAAGTAAACATACCTATTTGAAAGTACCTATTTTCAAATAGGGTAAAGGGTAGTTAGGAGAGAAAGATACACCTATTTATAATTTTTAAACTAATTTTTACTAAGGAAAAGAGATATTATTGTCATAACATACACCACCAAAACCTTTCAGAACTCCCTTAATTAAATAATCCCATCTTATTTGTGATGTGAATGTCTGTCTGTGATGGTATAATTGATACTGTCCTTCCTATTTGATTACAGAGCTACATATTTCCAGCTTTAAGCTTGCTGTTTTAAGTTTAAATTTGCTGTTGCTTCATGTAGAACCAGAAGGGGTGGCTTTTGGCTCTGAAAATCTTATTTCTGTTCAATTTCCACTTCTCTGTACCATGAGATAAAAATGTATTCTGCATCATCTGGCTGAAAAAAGAGCATCATCACTGAAATATTTAGAAAAAACTCTCCTAATGGCGGCAGAAAATCAGGCTACAGTTAAGGACACACACACACAAAACTGACCGAAGTTTCAGTAACGAAGATACAATGGATGTCAGCCTACTGGCTGCTTTTATAATCACTTCTGAGCACTTGCCATTGTGGCTCATTTTTATTCCCCACCCCCCCTTGGGGAGCAGCTGATTATCAACGCTGTCACAAAGGAAGGGATCCACTGTTAATTTTGCAAAGTTCTTAACCCCCAATTACTTCAATGATTTCTTCTGCTCCCCTTCCTCCTTCTGGCAGTCCCAGGTCACGTACGCCGCACCTTCTGTCACTGTCCCCCAGTTCTCGGATATTTTGTTCCACTCTCTCTCTGCATTGTACTAGGGGACGTTCCCACCGACACCTCTTCAGGCTCACTGACTCTTTCCCCGACTCTGCACACCACCCGTCCGTGCGTGCTGTCCGTTTTTTCCGTCTTCCCACGAGAGCCCCCACCCAGCACTGCTGGTCGTGGCGAACCCCCGATCTGATCATTCCCGAGCCTCTGCCGTATCTGAGGCTGGTTCTGCTGCTGGCTCTGTCTCTTCAGACTGTTTGTTCTTTCCTTTTAGCCGGCACTACAGTTTATCGAAGGCCAGACTCGATGTATGGAGTAACAGGGAAGTGAAAGGCCCACAGCGCAGGGGCCTATGTTTACTGGAGTGGCAGTTACGCTCTGTTTACTCTGCGTTGCTGCTGGAGGTGCCCGAGTGTCCCGTTTCCCCTGGTGCCCTTGTTCTTCTCCCACCCACTGTCTCTGGGTTTCTCTAGAAACTCCTCCTTAGCTGGAGCCTGGGCCCGGCAGCTCTTCCAGCTCCACTCCTGGACTCCACAGCAGCCCTGCCGATGCGGTGGATGCGGTGATGCGGTGTGAGGTGAGAAGCCTTCCTCAGCCCTACAATCAGGTCCTTCTCTGAGCCTGTGCCCCTGGGCCGTGCCCTTCTCAGAGCCCCTCCTCCCCTCACAAAGCCCAACAGGGAGGCTAGAGCCGCTGGAGGTGGGTACTTCTCTCGCCCCAAGCAGGTTAGGCCCTGACAGTTTCCCTTGAGGTCACAGAGAACAGAATGGGCTGGGCGTACTTCAAAATTATCACGTCCCCTGGGCACCTCTCACAACGGCTGCCTTCCCCTCCCCTTGCTGGACGCAGGAGGGGGTTCTTCTCTGACCTTCACTGTGAGAACCTGCTGGGGATCCCAGAGGGAAAACTCACAAAAGTGGGGGTGGGAGCCCAAGACTGGGCCCCCCCTGGGGTCTGCCATAGCCCACGGGCCACCTCCAGCAGCTGGTCAAGCGTGAACTCAGTTGCCACGCTCCTTCCTGGCTCCAGCGACTTCTGCGCTCACAAACCGCGGATCTCTGTGTCCGCCCCTCTCCCCAGTTCTCCCCAGCTCCCTGGGCCTTGCGGTCGGTCTGCGCCGTGACATCAGTCCTCTGATGGAGCTAAAAAGAGTTACTGCTTTTCGGTGTGTTCAGTTTTTTCATGTTGTGAGGACAGGAGTGAGGAATTCCAAACTCTTGACGTATCTGAGAAGAGATCCAAAGTCCCACGAATGGATTTTCTACCTACTGTTTTATTTCCTGTGTTCAGTCTCCACAACTGTGACAAGCTTACAGGCTGTCCACAATATTATTTTATGTCCTAAGACTAATGTAGAACTTTATTCATAATGTCAAGCACTCAAATAGGCATTAGTTTAGCAGTATACACTAATCCACTAACTGCCCAAATAAGTAATTACATTCTGTCAGTTATAACCTGATAACTAAACATACCTTGGCAATTCTCTCCACGTTTTTAACTCATTCAAGACAACTCAGCAGATCGTAATGGTAATTTTATTGCTCATGCAAATGAGTCATCACTTTCTTTTCATCCTTATAATTATGAGTGACAGGCCTTCCACCTGCTTCTCCCTGCCTCTCCAGCGCCACACACACATGCGGGTAACGATAAGACACTGAGCAGCATCCCACTAAGGGAAGAGGCAGTAATTCTATACTCAGCACAAGGCTACACACACCCTTCTAAGTCCGAAACAAAGCTCACTGCGCTCTTCCGGTGCCAGGAGCTTCAGGCACAGGTGAAACGCAAAGGCTTTCCGGCAGCAGAAGTCAGTCAACCGCCCGGACAAACCTCTGAGGCCTGCTGTCACTCATTCCCTTTTAGGGATGTCAACGAAATGTTTTATGAAAGTGGAATGATGACCTGTTAGTTAACAAATAATCGTGTACTGCTTCCTGTAATACTAGACAAATGTTTCAGGGTACGTAGTTAAAAATATACTACACACAGACACACATACATCTTGATGTATTCAAGTAATATGGTTGTAAATATATTGAGTAAACATAAATTATAAAAAAATAGTATTCTTTCAGTGATTGTTTCAAAAGCAGAAAAGCCCCCACCTGTTTAGGGGATCAGAAGATTTCCCCGAAAATATCACATTTGAAGCAGACTTTGAAAGACGGACAAAATATATTTTTTTGTGCAGAGTGAGAAGGGAACATTGGAGTAAGTAAGGAGAGAAATTCCAGGCAGCAAAACTGACATAGGCAGGTATGACAGAATAGGAAAAGCTAAGGTTTATACGAACCTCAGCATGATGTAGTATTCTTTCATGAGATTATTCCAAGCAGAGGAATTATTAGTAGTTAAATTCATTAGAAAAAAAATTTAGGGCCATTTTGAGAAAAGTCTTAAATGCAAGGTTGAGGGTCATTTCCATTTAATTAGTAGGCAACAAGGAACTATGAAAAGTTTGGGGGGACAATAAAGTTTAGCACCAGCATTTTAAGAATACTAAAATTGAACTGTACTCAAACAGACCAATCAAAGCTGAAAACAGAAGTGCAAGATCAAACTGAAAGGCTGTTGCAATAATCTAGATAAGGAGTAAACGACCAAGTGAAGACAGTGCTGGTAGAAACAAGGAGGAGAGGACCAGATCCTAGAGACTGAGTGTGGGGCACAGGCTCTAAGGTGGCTGCCAAGGACCTCTGTCTCTTTGTGGGATCCTCCAGACCTGAGCGATTGTGGGCGGGCCTGTGACAGGGGCAGCAGGGAGGACGGGATGGGGCGTCTAGGATTGCATCACAGACGGCAGTTCTGGCGTGCAGGCCAACTCTCCCAGGTCGTGGTGAGAGAATGGCAGTGGTGGGCAAAGGGGCAGCGGGGAATGAGAGACCTGAAGATCTGAACTTCGCTGGCGGGGGCGACGGTGGTGCTGTTAACGGAAGTCACAAGAGGGGCTGGGCTGTTTTCCTTCCACGTTGGCAGCAGGCACTTGACCTTGTTCATACTCTAAGTCAAATGCCTGGTCCATCAGAAACACTTCGTGACATTCGTGAGGGAAGCCAGAGCTAGCGATAACAATACAGAAACCATCTGCACGAGAAAAGTAGTTAGAGCCACAGACTTAGACTAATTTCCAAGATAGCAAGGCCCAAGTAACTGGCTGGAGCAAAATGGAGCCGAAGTTATTAAAGACATCTGAGACCAAGGTGTTAGAAGGGTCATTATTCTCAGGTTATATAATAAGAGAAAAATAAAGGAAAAACACAGAGGCTGGATGCTCAAAGTTATTATGGGAAGCAGGCAAGTACCCTAGAGGTTTACAGACACAACAAAACAGAACAAAATCAGCAGACATTGACGAGGGAGGTGAGACCTGGTTCTGCCTCCGCCGCCTCCTCTGCCCTCTGAGCCACGTGCTGGGCAGCCCGGCCCACGCTCCTGCCCGGTGGGGTTCTTGATTCTCTTCCCCAGGGTTTGGAATCAAGGGGTCTCGACAGTATCTAAACTTACGTAATTCCAAATAAAAGAATCTTCCTTTGCTTCACTTTTACCAAGGTTCATGTACAGTAAAAACATGCACGAAAGAAATTCTAAGTGTCCTTCAAAACTAAACCCATGAAAGGATTTTAAGGAATCATTACCTGTCAAACACCTTGAGTGGATAGGGATTAGCTGTTGCTAAGATGCTCAGGGAACATGTGAAGGGTACAATTAGTTTTGTTTTTTTTTTTTAACTAAAAAATGTGTAGTCCTTTTTCAAGTTCTGATTTAAATCTGTGACCAACCATCACGCTTGGCAAGTCAGACCGTCAGGGAGGGAACGCCGCCACGAGCCCCCGCCCACGGCTCACCTCGGAAGCGGTCGCCGCGGTGTTCGCACCGCTCGCCTGCCCGTTGGTCAGGTCCATCTCCCCGCAACATCCGCCCGGCGCTAGGCTGCCGGCACGGACGACGGACTGGCTGCTTCACGTCCAAGCCCACACATACATCATTGTTCCTGTGAAAACAAGCAGGAAATCTTAAAGGTGTGTTTAGTTATTACAGGATGTTCGAGGAAACAAATCCATGCCTATTGCTATGTCAAGAAATAGATTTTTCAAATATACTTAACTTTTTTTTAAAAGATTTTATTTATTGATTTTTAGAGAGAAGGGAAGGGAGGAAGAGAAAGGAGAAACATCAATGTGTGGTTGCCTCTCACGCGTCCCCTTACTGGGGACCTGGCCAGCAACCCAGGCACGTGCCCTGGCTGGGAACTGAACCGGTGACCCTCTGGTTCACCAGCCAGCGCTCAATCCATTGAGCCACAGCAGCCAGGGTATATTACTTCACAGAGCTGCAATGAGAAAATAAGATTTCATATCTGCAAAGAACCTTAAACAGTGCTGGCACATGGTAAGCGTGCTATTATGATGATGTGTATTTTGTCTACTATCTACTGAATCCACACAAAGCTTAAAAGCAATGGGGTCTGTAATTAAAGAAGACAAAAAGCTCAGAAATACACCTCTGGCAAAACACATGCTGGTGGGCATCACCAAACCCTAACTGCAGACATGTAAGCGAGAACGCCCCAACTCTGCTTCCCAGGCGCATCGAAGCATGCTTGTGGTTTTCAGATGCTCAGGGTCGCTGCTGACGGCGGCAACCTTTGGGCACCGCTTACACTTGTCTTCATTTCTTCAGATATACGCTCGGTAGCAGCTCAGAGCAAAACACTCTGCTAGTTTGTTTTTTTTTTAATTAAAAAAATGTATTAGAAATGATGGTCTCTAAAACCATTTAGACTTCATTTAGAAAAATCAATGTGAAAACGACTAGACAGAGGAATACTTTAACTTCCTCCAATCCCCAGTATTTCATTTTGTAAGCGCCACTACCCTAACAATACTATTAAGATCAATTTATATTTACACTGCTACATAAGATGAGCTTAAAAGCCCAAATCCTCTCTGAAGGCAACACTCAGTTTGCAATGAAATGTTTTTAAATCATTTCATTTCATTCCACAGTCTATGCATCTATGGATATGAATTCCTAAGTCAAGAGTGCCCCCTAGTGTTAAGAAAAATATTTTAATTAAATTGTTCAAGGAAATGTATCCTTCATCTACCTTCTATATCAAATACATAAACTTTATTACTATGATTTACTGAAAAAGAGGTCATACAAATCAGGATTAAACATTAATACATTTGTAAACTACAAGAGTAAAGATTCAAGTTTCCTCAGCCTACTTTTAATTAAAATGTCATTTGTATTAGTCCATGAAAATTAAGGTAATATTAAAATCAATTAGGTTTTTAGTAAAAAAAAAAAAGTACAGCAGAGCATACCTTAAAAAATCCTACTTATAACTATTGGGTTGGCCAAAAAGTCTGTTTAGTCTTTTCCATAAAATAAAAGACACATTTTTTCATTTTCACCAATAACTTGAATGATTTGGATACTGTGAGTATGTCGGCTATCTCCCACGTGGCATAATGTTGACTGTTCTCAATTCATGTCTCAACCTGACTGCTGTCAACTTCAACAGGTCTACCCGACCGTGGAACTTCATCCAGTGAGAAATCTCCAGCAGGAAACTTCGCAAACCGCTTTTGACACGCTCCATCAATCACAGCACCTTCCGCACGTACCGCGCAAATCGTTTTTTTGCATTTCAGCTGTGTTTTTATCTTTCTCGTAATAATGAAGCATAACACGGTGACAATGGTGCATATTTCCTTCCATCTTCAATATTAAAATGGCTGCACAAAAATTTGCCATGTTCGGTAAGTTTTTTTAATATACACTGATATGACAACTGTCGAAATCCAATCTAAGAAAATCATTTCAAATGAAGTTAAACTACAGCCACAGAGCCTTACAGAAGAAAAACAAACCAACTTTTCGGCCAGCCCAACATTTACAAATGCACCATGTCCACAGTATTTTCTACTGTTTAAGGACAACAAAGCCTCATGTGACACCATAAAAACACTGTAAATCCTAAAAGTTTACTTTTTCGTTTATGCTTCCAGACCTTTCGGTGCTTTGCAGATAGAAAAGTTCAAATTAAGCAACACAGTCACTCGCTTTACTGTTAGGTACTTTCCTAGGGCTACGCGTGACCACCGACATGGTAACAGCGCTTTCGTGATTACATTCGGCATTTCTTTCTCACTCTCTTCTGAAACTTCTGAAGACAGTTAATCTGACTTTTGGGTTTAAGTCCCAATATGGGCATGCACATTACTTCTTTTCAAGTAACACACTTTCTAATAGGGAATCTGAAATGTGCAGACACAGTTCCTTGCTTGAGGCCACGGAACTAGGTGATGAAGCTGTAGGCACTGAGCCTCCCGCCTCCCCACCTTCGCAATGTCTCCCCACCAGGAAACCCATGCTTCTGAAATACGTGAACAAGGGGGTTAAAGTGACAATGTCTCTCTAATTAATCTGATCTCACTTCAGAGTGCCAGTTACATATTCCTCTATAAAATAATTTATGCTATCATCATTAGAAATACGATGCTAGGCACACTAGTTTTTGCACAACACTCTAGAATAAGCAACAATAAGGAAAGTGGTAGTGAAAGGCAACTAATTAGTGTAATTTCTCTGGAAACATTAAGACCACGCAGCATTGATATGGCTCATACACTTTGGCTTAAAATTTTCAATCCTGGAAATTCACCTTATCAAAACTGGAGAAAAAGAAAAAACTGTATTGATAAAGCTACTCAATTAAACACTATTTATAATAGTGTGGATCAGAAGCACCTTTAATGCCTTTGTACATAATCACATTAAAAACTCAAGTGGACAATTAAAAAGAAAGCGAAAAATAGAAGTGACAGGTTCAAAAGAAACGAGAACTTCTTGTTATTGTATTCTTACAAGTTTCGTGGGGAAAAAAGTAATAGGGTAAGATGAAAACACTGTAATTGCAATTCAATGTGTACAAAGGAGTTATTACAGAGCTTGCTTTCCTTAAAAATTTATTTTTAAACCAATATTAATGATATGTTTTCTACTGAACGGCCTCTATGTCACAGCTCCAAGGCAAGCTCACGTCTGCATGTGTGACAGAGAAACTTGCATGGCCTCCTTAACATTGCTAACCTAAGAAAAGGGGAGATTACCCCCAAACTCCTTAGTACAGTGCTTCCAAAACTTCCAGTCATCACTGATTTTGTCTGCAACGTTAACTGATACTGAGCTATTCTGAGAAAAGTTTAATGAAAAAAATGTGATTGCCTCTTAAAAACCACTTCTGGTAGAGTATTAATAAGCAAGACCACGCTTCCTCTTTGCTGCGCTGGAAGAGTGCAGATCAGCACAAAGGAGAAAGAAAGGGGCTCTCACGCGCGCCAGGGACTCGGAGCTCCCCGGGGCCTCCCACGGAGAGGCCGCCGGTCTCCTGCCACTGCTGGGGCCTGCTCTGGTCTTGTCAAAACTCCACGCCTGTATGTCTGTACTGACTTGTTTACGGACCTCTCCTTTATAAACTCTGAGTTCCTCAATGTTGAAGGCACCTATTTATAACAAGACATGAGAGAAGAAGCAGCACTATCTTTCACTCGGGCATGTGAACTCACTACCTGACCTCCGATTACCAGCACCTGTTTCATCATCATCTGCTGAGAGGATGAATGACTGAGCAAAGCAGGCATTACACGAACGTCCAATTAACAGCAAACGTATAGAAACATACAGAGAGAACGGCAATCAAATAATCAATACACACAACACTACAGGTGCTTACTACAATGAGGATTTCTATTTCCAGCAACATGGCTGACAGAACGATGTAGAAATCTCTGTACTGCAGAAGAAATTTGGAGATGGGACCTTGAATTTTGATACCAGTAGGACAGAAAAGACAACCAAGAGAAGAGAATGGAATTGAGACCCATATACAATCCTTTCCACTCCCCCCCCCACCCCCCACATCTTTACCTAGAATAATGCCAAGAGATTGACAGTTACTTCATCAGTGATAATAGTCTATTTTTTAAAAATGTATACTGGTACAGGAAGGTAAGGAAACACCTGTGTTGGTTTGGGCTTAACTTGGAGGATGGAGGAGGGAGTCTACAAATTTGTCTACAAAATGAAAATGTGTAATCCTAGACATGCTTCTTTCAGCACAGACACAGAATCTGAATTTATACTACCCGCATGGTCCAAGACCCTCGAGACAAGGAATTCACGTTCAACATACTCACAAGCCAGGGGGACCTCCCAAGCCCAAGGCAGATGAAGGGAACAACAGTTTGGGGGAGGAACAGTCTTTGAGCCCAGGCCATGTGGGACTCCCACAGATAAAGCCCCACTGGCAAGACCAAAATAAAAATTTACCACTCTGTAAACAAACAACCCACTATGAGTAAGAGTAGGAAACACATCGGTTACTAGGATTGTCACCTGAGAACTTCGGGTGAAGAATGACCAGATCCGAGGCTGTCAAACAGGAAAGACTAAAACCAGCAGCCTTCAAGGAGGAAACTGAAGACAGGCAAGGTGTTGCAAATAAGTGAGACAGCTGTCGTAAGAGAACCAAATCCGAAAAATTGTTTTAAAGATTTATTTATTTTTAGAGAGGGATGGGAGGGAGAAAAAGAGAGAGAGAGAGAGAGAGAAACATCAATGTGTGGTTGCTGGGGGGCCGTGGCCTGCAACCCAGGCATGTGCCCTGACTGGGAATCGAACCTGTGATGCTTTGGTTTGCAGCCCGCGCTCAATCCACTGACCTACACCAGCCAGGGCCCAAATCCGAAATTAAGTCATTGGAGAATTAAGCATCAGGTTAAATGCACCTCAAACGCACGCTGAGACCAAAAAAAAAAAAAAAAGGCCCAAATGAAAGAACAGATCAAAGCCCCAGAACAAATACAACTAAGTAACGAAGAGATTGCCAACCTATTAGATGCACAGTTCAAAGCACTGGTGATCAGGATGCTCACAGAATTGGCTGAATTTGGTCACAAATTAGATGAAAAAAATGAAGGT